CTTTAAAGCTCTTGTCAGCGAAGATAAAGAGATGGATGTGGCTGACCAAACTTACTGCCCACGAAAATTTATTCAGTTTTTTTTACCACTAGATGAAGCAGCTGAGAAAGAACACAGGGGAAATAGATAATAGAAATAGGAAGAATTTTTAAAAGGGGGGAGGGAGGCGGAGTTATGTGTTTTGGTTCGGTAGTAGGAGGGTTTTGAATTTCTTAAGCCTTACGTTCCTTGTACTGTACTTAGACAAGGACACAAAGTCAAAATAGCACCATCAAATGTGAGACATAACCTTATGCAGGAGAGAGAGAGTTGTGAGAAGAAGAAAGAAGGTGACCATCAAGCAAGCAAGAACATTAAAGGATGGCCTCCCTTACTTATACTACTTGGAGGACCCTGAACAGGTTGAGAGTTGGAGTGCCTAAGTGTAGAACCGATATGCTCAAATGGAGGTCCTCAGTGGATAACAACACGTTGTGGGTATGTGGAGAGATACAGAGCCTGGCCCGTCTGCTGGTATGTCATCTACTACCAGAAACATGTACCGATGATGACTTATTTTTGGCCAACAACAATGCCAAGAAAGTGGCTTCATTCTGGCAGTCTAAAGTTTGATCTGGACATGGAAGAAGAGATGTTGTGCAGACCAGATGTTAGGTAGGTAGGTAGGTAGGTAGGTAGGTAGGTAGGTAGATAGATAGATAGATAGATAGATAGATAGATAGATAGATAGATAGATAGAATTCTTTATTGGCCAAGTGTGATTGGACACACAAGGAATTTGTCTTGGTGTAAATACTCTCAGTATACATAAAAGAAAAGATACATTCGTCAAGAGTCCAGAATCATAAGGTACGGCACTTAATGATAGTCATAGGATACAATAAGCAATCAAATCATACTAGGAAACAGTCGATATAAATCGTAAGTATACAAGCGACAAAGTTACAGTCATACAGTCACAAGTGGGAGGGGGTGGGTGATAAGGAGTGATGACAAGATTAACAGTAACAGTAGTGCAGACTTTGTAATAGTTGAACAGGGTTGAGGGAATTATTTATTTAGCAGAGTGATGGCTTTCAGGAAAAAACTGTTCTTGTGTCTAGTTGTTCTGGTGTGCAGTGCCCTATAGCGTCATTTTGAGGGAAGTAGTTGAAATAGTTTATGTCCGGGGTGTGAGGGGTCTGTAAATATTTTCCCTTTTTGACTCCTGCAGTATACAGATCCTCGATTGAAGGCAGGTTGGTTGTAATTGTATTTTCTGCAGTCCTAGTTACTCTCTGAAGTCTGTGTCTGTCCTGTTGGGTTGCAAAATCAAACCAGACAGTTATAGAGGTGCAGATGATAGACTCAATGATTTCTCTGTAGAACTGGATCAGCAGCTCCTTGGGCAGTTTGAGCTTTCTTAGTTGGCGCAGAAAGAACATTCTTTGCTGTGCTTTTTTGATGTTAGGTGTCCATTTTAGGTCATGTGATATAGTAGAACCTAGAAATTTGAAGGTCTCTACTGTTGATAAGGTGTTGTCTAGTATTGTAAGAGGTGGTTGTATGGGAGGGTTTCTTCTAAAGTCTACCACCATTTCTACAGTTTTGAGTGTGTTCAGTTCCAGATTGTTCCGGTTACACCACGGGGCAAGTTGTATAATCCCCTGTCTGTATGCGGATTCATCGTTGTCTCGAATGAGACCAATCACTGTTGTGTCATCAGCAAACTTCAGTATTTTAACAGATGGATTGTTTGAGATGCAGTCATTGGTATATAGGGAGAAGAGAAGTGGAGATAGCACACAGCCTTGGGGGGGCCCCTGTGCTGATCGTACAGGTATTGGATGTGATTCTGCCTAACTTCATCTGCTGCTTCCTGTCTGTTGGGAAGCCTATGATCCACTTACAAGTGTATTCAGGTACCGCTAGTTGGTTTAATTTATTTAGAAGACAATTTGGAAGCATCTATTATCCTTTATTATGGACCTGGTGAAGATTGGAACATGGACTTTTTTTTTGAACTTTTTGGAGATAAAGTGATAGTAACAAATTGACATTCCTACATGAAAGAGGAAGTCATATAAATTCATCCAAAAGAGATAGGGAAGCTTCAAATATTTCAGTTACAGAAAGGATGTTCAATTTCAGTTCCTTTTTTCTTCTTCTGTGCAGATAATATCTTTGGACAGGCTGGTGAAACAGCAATCGTGCCAGAGATAAGTGTTTTTAGTTCTCCCAGATGCTGCCCCGGATCACATTCCATCTAGAGCTAAAACACTGCACAGAGACTACATAATTATGTTTTAATTTTATTAGGTTTAAATGTCTTCTCAGCCACCACAACTAACTCTCTGGGTCAACCTGTTGCCTGTTATCGACATTCTGTAACAGGCTGAAGGAAGGATTCATTGGTGTATAGAGTCCATGGGAATTGGGCAGCTAATAGAGTCAAACAAATAAAAATAATAATTAAAGAAGAGGCTATACTTGTTTCCAGTGGAAGGGATGAATGAAACGGACCAGTATGGTGAGAGCAAGGCAATATATTTTTGAAGGAGGTATTAGGATTTTTAGTCAGTATAGATATTTGGAGCTGGAGAAATGACGTGTACAAACACACACACACACACACACACACACACACACACACTATCCTTGTGTGTGTGTGTGTGTTCATGTGTGTGAGGAAACTATGTCATTGCTTTTCTGCAAGTCAGCGATGTGGTTGGGTATGGTTTTGAGAGCTGCAAAATAAACATGTAAAAATAAATTTGACATGATATTTATGGGCAAGGTGTTTTATGTTGCTACCTCTTGTCCTGCAAAATGAAGGCAACTCATGATTTAAAGAAATAATCCTGGCCAATGGTCCATGTGACTGAACATGTGAGCCCCGGTAATTTGATGGTTGCGTTCACAGAATGTGCTAACCTCACGGCTTATGGAACCCGCTTTGCACAACGCATTTCAGCCCAGTGTATTGTATGGGAAGAGCCATAAAACCAATGACGGCTTTGTAAGTCTGCCCCCAAACATTTTAAAATATTGGAATAATGAGCATGTAACTTCCTATCTCTTCTCAGCTGAGAAATGAGGATATTCATTGCATTGGCTGTCCCAAAGATGCTCAACTGGACTTTCTGGTTTTTCCTTGAAGACGTTTCGCTTCTCATCCAAGAAGCTTCTTCCGCTCTGACTGGATGGTGGGGAATGGAAGAATGTCTGCAAGGAGCATCAATCCTTCCATTCCCCATCATCATCTAGTCAGAGCGGAAGAAGCTTCTCAGATGAGAAGCGAAACGTCTTCAAAGAAAAACCAGAAAGTCCAGTTGCCTTTTTGGAAAAAAGCACCTTTGGGACAACCAGAACGTGGATGATGGGAGAATCTCCATAGACATTGCATTGGATGGTTCCCACAATTGAGAACACTGGAGTCATGCAAAATACATGCCAATTGTGTTATTTGTGTCATTCCTAATGATGTGAAAACCCAGCCATAGGTTGTCTTACCAGCCATGTCATTAGGTCAAGGCAAATTATTGAATAGGCACAGCCACATTATGCAAACCGCAACAAGTATGTTTTATTAAATCAGGGTCAGAGTTTAGCAGTATGCAGGACCACGCGGCTAACGCCACTGTTTGCAAAACATGGTTTCACATTGCAAAGTATGTGAATCCAAGCCAATTGGGGTTTATTTAACTAACCAGGATCCATGTGTGAATTATGAGGCAACCTAGAACTAGGACGAAATTTCTTGACAGGGAGAATAATTAACCAGTGGGAGGGCTTGTTTTTAGAAGTTGTAGGTGCTTCATCACTGCAGGCTTTTAAGAAGAGATTGGACAGCCACTTGTCTGAATGGCCTAGGGCAGAGAATGGCGAACCTTTTCAGCACCAAGTGCCCAAACTGGAATGCAAATGCATGCCGGAAAACCAAAGACCACCTGTGTGCATGCCTGTTTTTTGGCTGTTTTCAGGCCATTTTTGGGACCGTTTTCTAGACTGTTTTCTAGGCTGTTTATGGCCTGAAAACGGCCCCCCAAATGGCCCCAAACCAGACCATTTGGGAGGGCGTTTTTCAGGTTGCTTTTCGGGCCCTTTTTGGTCTGAAAATGGCTTGAAAAACAGCTTGCTTTTGGCCAGTTTCTGGGCCGTTTGTGGCTGTTTTCCGGGCTGTTTTTCGAGCCGTTTTCAGGCCAAAACCAGCCCCTAAAATGGCCAGAAAAATGCCCTGAGTTTTTGGCTATTTTTTTTGGCCATTTTCCAGCATTCCAGCACCCACGAAGACCAGTTAGTCAATGCCCAGGTGCACACCAGAAACGGGAAGATCAGCTGGCGATGGCGTGCACGCCCACTGAGAGGGCTCTGCATGCCACCTGTGACACGCATGCCATAGCTTCGCCATCACTGGCCGAGGGTCTCTTCTTTGGGCAGGGGGGTTGGACTAGAAGACCTCCAAGGTCCCTTCCAGCTTTATTCTGATTAATTTCATTAATTCATTCCTCAACTCGCGCAGAAGTTGTGGCCACACGGTTTTAGTGACCGTTCAAAAGTACAACTGCACTGAAAAGTGACTTGTGGCCGTTTTTCACACCGTTGCAACACCCCTGTGGTTATGTGATTCAAATTCAGACAGCTTGGCAAGTGATTCACATTTATGATGGTCCCAGGGCTCAAGTGATCCCCTTTGGCGACAAGCAAAGTCCATGGGGTGGGGGGAGCCAGATTCACTTAGCGGCCGTGCTACTAACTTAAGACCTGAAGCGATTAGTGGCCAGAAAAGGTCATAAAATGGGGCAACCCCCCCCCTCAATTTAACCATTGTCTCATTTTAACAGCATAACTTTTAGGCTCCCTTGCAGTCATAAGTCGAGGACCACCCGCAATAGAGCCGTTCTCATCAACCCACCCTCCCCATTTTAAATCAGCCAATCAGCTGCTCGTGCAGGCCTCCCTTAGCCTCCACCCACCCCCTCCGTTTCCACATCCGGGCCGTTTCTAAGCAACGCAGAGGCGTCACTTCCGGCGCGACGCGAGAAAGAGACCCCTCGAGAAGGAAGGCGCCATGCTCTCCGTCCCGGGCACCGGGGCCGGCTTGTCTTCGGGCTTCGGCCCCGGCGAGTCGTCTTCGGGTGCCGGCGCCGGCGGCGATTTCCTGACGCGCTACCGGCTGGTGTCGTCCAAGCTCCGCAAGCGCTTCCTGCGCAAGCCCAACGTGTCGGAGGCGTCGGAGCAGTTCGCGGCGCTGGCGCGGGAGCTGCGCGCCCAGGAGAGCCTCCCGTACGCGGCCTGGTGCCAGCTGGCGGTGGCGCGCTGCGCCCAGAGCCTGGGCCACCCGGCGGGAGAAGCAGCAGCGCTAGCCGAGGCGGCGCGCCTCTGGCTGCGCCACGAGCGGGAGCTCCGCCTGCGGCAAGGCCCCGGCTTGGGCCTCTCCGAGTACCTGCCGGCCGCCCACGGCTGCGTGGCCTTCGCCGCTCGTCTCCACGTCGACTTGGGGCAGCCGGCGCTGGCGGCCGGGCTGTGGCTGGAGCTGGGCAACGAGCTGCGCTCCGCCGGAGAGGCGAGCCAAGCCGTGCCGGCTTTCCTGCGTGCTGCCGACCTGCTGGCCGCGGGCCATCTGCCCTTGGAGGCGCTGCACGGGCTGCGAGACGTTGCCTCCTGCCTGCTGCTCGGCCGCGACTACGACGGCGCCCTGGCGGTGCTGACGCAGGCCCAGCAGCTGGCCCAAGGGGGCGGCTGCGGACCCTCAACCAACGCCCCTGCCTCCTCTTCCTCCTCCAGCGGTGCCCCGTCGCTGCCCGGCGCCTTCCTTGACCACCTGCTCCACTGCGAGGTCACCCGAGTGCTGCTCTTGCTCCTGCTGCAGCCTCCGCCATCCAAGCTGCTGCCGGAACACGCCCAGACCTTGGAGAAGTACTCTTGGGAAGCCCTGGATGCCTCCTCGGGCTATGTTCCTCCTGAGCTTTTCTTGCTGCTCCAGTCCACCGTCATGGCCTGCCAGGAGAAAGACTTGGAATCTCTGAAGGTTCTGCAGAAGGAACTGTGGCCGCTGCTGACGGCGGAGCAGAACAACCTGTTGCACTTGGTGGTGCAGGAGATGATGGCGCCCTCCGGCCAGGGGTTCTGACTGGGGGAGGGGTGTGCCCCTGGTGTTACATTTCCAATGCTCTCCGTCTGTGGATAGGTCTGGGTGGAAGAGTCGAAAGAACTTGAACAAACCTTCCCGCAGTAGTCAGTGGGAAGAGGGTGAAACTTTCAATTTTTGTTCCTCTGTCCAAGGGATCTTCAAACTTGACAGCTTTAAGACTTGTGGACTCCCAACTCCCAGGATTCCTCCTCCAGTCATGTTAGATCAGGGATTCTGGGAGTTGAAGTCCACAAGTCTTAAACTTGCCAGGTTTGAAGACCCTTGCTCTGTCACTAAGCTTCCCACAGGATGAAGTGAGGATACCTATGAGCCCCCAATACATTGGATGATATCTCCTTCCATTTTTAAACCTATTTTTTGCCTGTGCCACAGGGAGTTTTTTTCCGACATTCCTGGTTCTTTCTACCTTGTCATTCCTTGAACTTAAATTATGAGCTTGAGAGAACTGCGCATATACTGTTGGCCCGTATTCTATTTTGTGGCTCCTTAGAAATTCATTCTTCATCCCGCAGGCCACAAGTGAAATGAGCTTTGCAATGTTGGCTGAAAACTGATCGGAGCAGTTCTCTTGTTTTCATTGAGGTGACAGAAAGCTTTAGAAGCCATTTTTTCATCAGTGTTGCCAAGTGTATTGTGTTCTTCTCAGTGCTGTTGCTTCTGATGGAGGCTATATTAAAATCGACATGGATGATGTGAACAACAATTTGGGAGAGTTGAGGGAATTTCACAATATTTCTGTATTTGAACCCAAATGGGATTTCTAAATTGTGTTCTCAGGATTCTGTATTGGATTAATTTCTGCCTTGAAATAATCTGAATGTTTACCTTGCCTGAGTCTTAGCTGGTTGTGTAATTTGATTTGGATCTGACATGAGTTCTTTGAAAATAAACTGGTTTCTCAATTGGGATGTGGGGAAGCCTGATATTTTTAAGTAACCTTTTCCCCTCAAGGTATATTCAATTTTAAATATACACTATTACTTTATGAACAAGTGCCCCTTTATGTTGTTAGAATAAAAAGAGATTTATGCTGTAGCATTAAAAATCTTGCCCTATTGATTTTTGCAATTCTTTCCCATCATAATTAAGGCATTTCAGTAGCTGCATTGGAACCAACTTGCTGCTATGCGCTGGTTTAATTTGGGCTTAATTTATGTGACACGCAATTGTGACCCATTCAACACATTACGATTAAAATGTTGGCATGCTATATTTTAATACCAATTTGACCTCATGCCTGTTGCAGCAGGAACACTGAAGTGACAAAAGCACTTGGCTTGGTACAGAGATTTTTACTAATTACTATTCTTACAGATGAACGCAAAGTGATCTAATAATTAAATGAGTATGCCTTCTACTATGTTTTGGAAGGAGACAGCCTAAAGCCTAAAGCTTGGGTTCCTGCTCCGGAAAACATCCCAGTCCAACTTGCTTGCACTTTGTGAGCCACTGAGGTGACGAAGAGAGCTTTCCCAACTGATGTCGGTGTGCAAGGTGCTACCTCCTGTATCATCCAGTCCTAAGTACCAGTATAACATACTAGCTCAATACCTGTGCTTTGCTATGAAACTATGGCCGGGCTTAGTTTTTGGGGAGGAAAATAAGGGTGGGAAAATTCTGCCTCTGCCTACCAGCATCCATCATCGGTATTCATCTGGCAAGTGTCCTGTCGGTGTGTGAGAGAATTGAGGGCTGTTTGGAAACTGAATCAGTATTTTCTGTGTGAGCAAGGAGTCAGCAAGGAGCCTGGGCATGGCTTAGCTCAACTGTTCTGTACTAAAGCTGGTTGCTGCTGTGAAACTGAAACTCCTGCTTGTGTTTTGCCTTTGGAAGAGATTTCAGGTGGGGAGGGGGAGTAGAACTCCTTAGCAACAGAGCCTGTTAATAATAATATATGATATAATTTAAATGCTCTGATGGTCATTTTGAAAAATCCTTTCTCAGTGAGCACCTAGAAGCCAAGAGGAACATACGTGCCAAATTTCAAGTTTGTAGACTTTAACGGTTCTGGAGATTTTGTGATGATGCGTGAGTGGTCTTTTGCTTTTATATAGATTCTCAAGTGAAGCTGATTCATCCTCTGGCCTCCCATGCAAGGCACCCATTTTCTGCCTATATGAGCCAAGGGATGGCGGGCAGTCTCTTGCTTACAGATAATTCACTTAACAAAGTCGTCACTCCCCCACCCCATAAGCAATGATGATGTTATTTGTTCAAGTCAAAAGTCCAACTTTGGGGCCAGGTCTCTCCACATCTTCTGATCTTGCTCTGCTTCTTTGGAGTTTTTCATGCTCCAGTATCAGCTTTGATAGTGTCCAGTCATTGGTGATCTGGTTTCCTTTTATCACTAACTTTTCCAAACATAATTGCTTTCTCCGGTAAGTTCTCCCGCATGACACAGCCCAAATTTCAGGCCATGAGAAAGTTTCATTTTGCCTTCTCTAGTGATATGCCCGGTGTTACACACTCCAGTACTTGTTTTTTAGCCCCATTTGCTGTCCAAGTGATACGGAGGAGCTTTCACAGCTCAAAACAAGTAGATTTTCTTTTTTTAAAGGTCCAACTATCATAACCATCCATAAGTTTAGTTTATTGTCATTGCACCCCGTACAATGAAATTAAATACCATCTTCAGTGTACATTATGACTATGAAAATTAACACAAATGCATATCCTTTGCATTCTATATAATTGAATTGAAAACCCGATACTGTATTAGTGTTGCACTGTACAGTAGAATTCAAAAGAGCTACTGCTCTGGGATAGAAGCTGTTTTCCAGCCTATTTGTCCTTGTTTTTATTATCTTGTACCGTCTTCCAGGTGGTAATAGTTTTAAAAAAGGGTTCTCGGGATGAGATGGATCTTTAAGAGTGTTTTTGAACTTTCTTAGGGCAGCGGGAGCTATAAAGCTCTTCCAGAGAGGGGAGAGGGCAACCCATGATCTTCTGGGCAATGACATTAACCCTCCGGAGTGCTTTCCTATCTGCCATGGTGCAATTGGCAAACCAGACAGAGGTGCAGTAAAGTAAGATATTCTCTATGGTGCAGCGGTAGAAGGTTGCCATCAGTTTTTCATTCAGTTGTTTTCAGAGAAGTCTCAGGTAGTATAATCTCTGCTGGGCCCTTTTGACCATAAGCAATAGAGAAAGCAATCTTTTTTTCCCCCCAACCTGCTGCTTTGTTGCTACTATCCCAATTAGATTTAAAAGAGGGGGAAGCCTCCAGTGACCATCCATCAGGTTGCAAATAAGGTTGGGCTGGTAAGGCATTGCTCAGGTTTGGAAACATTCAGACACGCGGATTTGAACTTTTCAGAATTCGCCCCCAGTTAGCATTGTCTGGCTTGTCCTGCTGTTACTCCATGAGTTATGACGGCAGTTGAGCCCAAAGTTGATGTTGCTAAGTGAAACAATTGTAAAGGGAGTTTGCCCCATTTTGCGACTACTCTTGCCATGTTTGTTAAGCAAATCACTGCAGTGGTTAAATGAGTCACACGGTCATTAAGTGAATCTGGCTTCCTCGTTGAACTTTACTTTTGTCAGAAGGTCACAAAAGGGGATCCCGTAACTTCGGGACCCCGACCGTCATAAATATGAACCATATGCCAAGCGGTTGAATTTTGATCATGTGAATGCTGCTACGGTCATAAGTATGAAAAACGGTCACAAGTCACTTTTTTCAGTGCGATCGTAACTTTGAACCGTCACTAAAATGTAAGTCAAGCACTAGACCCGCAAACAAGAGAAGAGCGGGTCAGTCTAACTTTCGTTAGTCTATATAATTGTCGTTTTCCCCCCTCTTCCCCCCTCCAACTCTGCTGGCCGTTTCATTCTCTTTCCTCGATGATCCTTTCAACTCCCCCAACTCCGCCTTCCCTTCGGCGCACTGCCTGCCGGGAAGGGGAGGCGGAAGTGGGCGGAGAGGCCGCTTCCGGTGCGAGCGGGGTTGGCGGGATAGCTGCAAAGCAGCGCGCGTGAGTCCGAAGCAAGCGCGTGGCGCAGCCAAGATGGCGGACGGGACAGGTGGGCGCGAGACGCGGCTTTTCCTCAGGCGCCCTCAGGGATCTCGAACGGCCGGCGGGGAGGAGGCGGGCGGGAGGCCGGGTGGAAAGACCCCCGGGGCTCACGCGGGGCCTCCTTTTTTCTCCTGGAACCCTCCCTCCCTTCCCCCCCCCCCGCAGTTTCTGAAAGGCTCGTAAAGGAGGGGAGCACGTGCTTCCCGGGAGCGCGGGGAGAAACGCACAGGAGCCCTTGAGGGGGCGGCGGGAGTCAGGGAGGCTTTGCAAGAGGGTTGCAGGAGCTTCTCCAAGCGGGCTGTGGAGAATCGGGGAGCTTCGGGTGTGGGGGAGCCCGGATTTTCCTCTCGCAGCGCCCCGGGGGTGGCCGCCTTGGCCTCCAGGTTCCCCAAAGGGAGCTTTTCACTTTATCCAGAAGTGCAATTTGGGGACTCCCGCAGTCGGAGGCTGGCCTGGAAACCTGGTGCTGGGACGTTTCGTTATTGTTCCCGTTATTATTTTATCCCCTTTTTTATGCGTGTGTGTGTGTATAATTATTTCGTTTCATTATTGCTCCTTTTTCATCCGGCCTTTTATATATAGATGTGTCTGTGTATCATTTCGCTTCGTTATTGACCCTATTTTATCACTCCTTTTATGTCTGTATATATGCATTTACGTGTGTGTGTGCATATATATGTTTATTATGTTTCATTGGTGCTATTTTATCTCCCCTTTTATGTATAAATGTGTGTGTGTGTGTGTGTGTGTGTGTGTATATATATATATGTATGTATGTATGTATGTATGTATTTTGTTTAATTATTGCTCCTATTTTATTCCTTCTTTTATATGTGTGTGTATATTTTTCATTATTTTATTTTATTATTGCTCCCATTTTATCCCTCCTTTTATGTGTGTTTGTTTCATTATTTCGTTTCATTATTGTTCCTATTTTATCCCTCCTTTTATGTGTATGTGTGTGTATATTTATGTATATATGTGTTTGTGTGTGCATATATCTGTTTATTTTGTTTCATTAGTGCTTCTATTATTTTATCCCTCCTTTTGATTGTGTGTATGTGTATGTATAATGGCAAACATTCCTAATGTTCAGGACTCCTCTTTTTTCCCCAACAACAGCCCTGTGAGGTGGGGTGGCTTGAAAGAGAGTGATTGCCCTAAAGTCACCCATTGGGCTTTGATGGATGTATTTGATAGTTAATGTATGTGTTATGATTGGATGAATGCCTTGCATTGCTTTCCTGCTCATTAGTACTCTTTTTATCCTGCTTTTGGACACCTTTAACATTGAGTTGCATGGTTGTGTCTAATGTGAGTTGCTTGCAATGTGTTGCAATTTTGTTGGTGTGATCCCAAAGAGTTAGATGTTGATGGAAGGGGGTAAGTGATGGTAGGCCTGGTAGGCCATTTTGGAAGATACATCTTTACGTTGCAATCCACCAAATGTGTTGATGCTAAAAATTCAACCGTGAATATATTTATCCTGTTCTTATATATTTATAAGAAGTTTGAAATGAATCTTCTCTAAGTATAAATTCTCCAATTTTTTCATTCTCTTTGAGTCCTAATTATCTCGTTACAAGAACAGTTGGGAGTTCTTGTTAAAATAGAAAAGTGTGTTGGATAAGTTGGCCGCCTTGAGTTATTTGGAAAAATAACAAAGGTGGGATACAAATAAATAAAAGGTATCAATATTTCTCCTTTTCTGTACTACCTTCATTCATCCAGCTTTTGTCAACTGTTTAGTAAAATAATGTGCATAAACCTCGTCAGCATTAATCAAACTAAAGCTTGATTTTGGTAGACCAGTAAAGTGGTATTTCAGGATCTGTTTCTATCTTTTAAGTTTGCAACAGATGCTAATTTTTATTATTTTTGCTTATACCATT